CAGTCTGGATCCAGAATCCATGTTCTTAGCCATTAAATATTCTGTCTGATCACGGGTAAGGGTTAGTCTGCATGTGCTGCACTAGACAATGTTCTTTGAATAGTTAGTATTATGTTAGATGAATTCATGCATTGGGTAAATTCATAGTGCCATGCTGTTCAGCCGAAGGGTGGTATATACTGCTGTGAAGAGATGTCCACAGCACGCTGTTGAGTAGACATAACAAACGTAGAAGATTGATTAAATGTAGTCTGATCCTATCTTTGAAAAACAATAGAGCCTATTTAGCAGGTACAAGATATATGAATGCATGTGTGTGGAGGGATATGTAAATGGGATACACAAAAATCTGAAATGGTAAATATCTCCATCATCACTTCTAGGAAGGGGAATTTTTTAAAATGCCAGAATTGAGAAAAAAAAAAAAACCTTAAGAATAAATGCTCCTTTTAATGCAGGTTGTTGTGGTGCATGCCTGTAATCCCAGCACTCAGAAGAGGGAGGGAGGAGGATCACTGGGAGCATGTTAAAGGTCAGCCTAGACTACATATGAGATCCTGCCTCAAAATACACACACACACACACACACACACACACACACACACACACACATACACATGAGTAAATGCTCTTTTCATAATATAAACAGGCTGGAAATTTTTTTAAGCTTAAATAAGTGCACTAATTCTCTTGTTTTATACACTCTTGAGTCATAATTTTAATGTGATTAATATTTTTTAACCCTGAATTTGTGACATTGTAAATAAATTAAAGTAGTTGTTTCTTACTTCACTTCACCCTAAGTTTGCAATGTGGTTGTCTTCCTTAAAGTGGAGGGCAGGACACGGGAGAAGGTCTGCATTTTCACAACTGAGGTCTGAATGTACTGTTTTAAGGATTATCCATAGTACTTTCATGTCATTGTGGACATACAAGTTCCTACTGTGTGTAGGTAACATTACAAATCTTGACAGTACAGTGTCATATTATATTACAAAATGTCTGCTGCTGTGATAAAACTACTCTTGGTTATTTAGCATTAGTCATGTGCACTTTTATTTTGTGGCATCTCTCTTTTGCATTTCATTCCAGATAAGGGTGCTTCTAGTCTGTGGGCTGGTGGGCTCATCCATGTAGAAAGACGTATGCATGGGGTTTTCTTTCAAAACAGGGTTCTTCAGGGGTTGTTGAAACTCTTTCACCTCCTTCAGGAAAGTACAGCTGAGAAGCCAGGTCAGCTGAGGTTGGAGGTGTGTATGTGTAGCTCTTATTAGTTAAGCATTCCAAGAATGCAGTCTTCTGTGCTTCACAGTTGCACAAGAAAGACATTTGGCACCAAAGTGCTGGACTTGACTTTGTAGTGTGACTGCTCAGGGTCAGGCTTTTTTTCCTGAGAGTCTCATTGTTCGGGGTCACAGGAAGAGACATGGACTTGAGAGGCTTGGGGAGGGGAGGGGAGAGAACAGGGAAGATGAGCACAGACCAGAGGTGTGGGGCAGCTAACAAAGCAAACTCCTTCCATCTCACAGATCTGCAGCCCCAACTGCAGGTGAGAACCACCTGGCAGCTTTTGAAAAAGACTAGGGATACCTGACCCCATCCAGGCCAAAAGAATTGCAATCTCTGGGGGTTGAACCTAGTCATGAGGATTTCTTAAAAACCTCTCCACATTATTTTTGCATGAGTCAAACTTAAGTGACCCTGACTCCCTGGGAGTGCCCTGCGACCTCCAGGAGTTCACATGGATGTTTGTGAGGCATGGGGGTGGGGGTTGGGGGCTGGGAGCAGGATGTGCCTGGGAATCTGGGGGCCACTGCTTCTCACGTTCTAGGGGAGGGCAGTAAAGCAGAGGTGACTTCCTGCCAGATCCCATGATTTTTCTACCCCTTAACATGTTGTTTGGTCCCACTGCTGAAAGATTATAAATACAAAGTTCCCTGGTGAGTGGTATTAAATAGCGAGAGAGAGGATCTGAAAGGAGATGAATATCATATATTCAAACAAACCGCACACCGTGGATCCAGGCAAGTTGTGGCAGAGCTAGCTATTTGTTTAGCACATTTCGCACTGTTTTTTCATCAAAGCATCCATACAAGCCGGTGAGGTAACATCATGGTCATTCGGCATATGAGGAAACTGAGGCTAAAAGAAGCAGAGAGCCCGGATGTCTCAGCTATTGCATGGCCAGGAAGAGCCACAACGTGCCTGGCTCCCAAATCCAGGGTTCACACTCTGCCAGGCAGCATTTAAAAGCTGTCTTTCATTTTAATGTTTCCTACTGAGACTTAGCAAATAAGACCCTGGTTCTCTCCATGTGATCCTGGACATTCGAATGCATGAAACAGGGAGACTAACTTGTGAAAACCAACTAAGGAAGCTGTGGGGCAAATAGCAAGAAAAAATTACCAAATAGCCCTATTTTCTCTTCTCCCATTTATCCACAACTTCCCAGTATTTATTTTAAAGGATTGCTAACACGTGCAGAATACACACTCAGGACAGGGTAGCTTAATCTCTTGGTACTGCAGTTGTATGTGTGGTCCATTGCTGATCAAAAAATCCTTATGTGGTTGTATATGCCACTCTCTGCATTTTACAAAAGTAATTTATTTAATCCTTCCAACAACTAAATGATATATATAGGTGTTGTTCTTATTCTCCATTTCACAGGTGGTGAAACTGAGGGCTACAGAGTTTAGGCAGCTTGTTGCAAGTCACTCAGTTTGTGGGTCAGAAAACCTAGGTTTGTGTTCCAGTGCTTTGGAGCAGAAACTGACATACTTGGCTTTTGTACTGTGCTGACTCTTGTTGTTACAGCACTTTAGCTCTCTTGTTGTTACAGGTCTCTAGCTGTGGGCTTCTACCCCTTCTACCTGTTTGCTTAGTTATAATAATCATAATTGTACCATCATTAATTATAATAATCATTTACATTTACTGTTATGGCTTGTACTAGACATCCCCCCAAAGCCTCATGTAGTCCTAGGTGGGGCATTTTGGAGGTAGCTGGATTTAGCGTGTGTGATGCTGAGATTAAGGGTGTGGAAGGCACTGCCCAAGGGGTAGGCAGCCTGGACGAAGTACAAAGGCAGGCTTGCCGCTGCTGTCGTTGCTTGCTGCTTGCTGCCTTCTGCCTGCCCTGCTTTGCCATGGACTATTTTTTCCTCCTTGATACCCCTCTGCCATGCCACCCTACTCTGGAGCCAGGTAATGATGGATTGAACTTCTACAAATCCTCTTTGTGTATTGGATATTTTGTCTCAGCAAATAGAAAAGTAACTAAGACATTTACTGTGCTTTTCTCATGCATTAGGCAGAGTTCAAAGGCTTTGATTATGTCACTTAATTCTTTAGTGCTCAGAGTAGACCAAGAGCTGACGCCTGGCCCCTCGGGTGAAGGCTGTTCTCTAGCCCACGGCCATCCTCAGCAGCACTCTCAGCAAGGGCCCCCAGGAACACTTTCAGGGCTCCTAAGGAAGCCTATACTAGACTTTTGGTCTAGACATTTGAGTGACTAAAGAGGTCTCTCTGTGCTTTCTGTCATCAGAGAGCTTTTCCCTGGGTTCCCTAGATTTCCCTAGATTCTTGGCAGTGACCTCCTATCATTTCCTCCTGAATTAGTCTTGTCCGCCACCACAGCCTCCTCACTTAGTCCAGGCAAGTGGAGCCCAGCCACTCAGACTTCAGCGACACCATCATGTGTCTGTCCACTTGGGCCAAGTAAGATGGGCGAGATTATGTCATTCTGTCCGCAGCAGTAGAATCCTTGTTTGCTGAGCCTGGCGGACTAAACATCCAGAAAGCAAGGACATCTGTGAAAGCTCACCCTTATGTCCTGCTCTGCCCCCTGTATGGTCAAGAGAGTGTCTTTCAGTGACTCTGAGACTCACACTTGGCCAAGTCTCAATGCTCCCCACCTATTTCCTTCCTGCTAGAGGAAGATTTTTTTTTTTTTTTTTTTGCCATTTCCTCCGCCTATAGCTTTGCTCAGTGGCTTTGCACATGGCTGGCTCTTCTCTACCTTCTCTACCACAGGTCAGCCTTTGAACCTCACTGAGATCTCCACTGACCACCTTGTCTAAAATGAGCTCTGATCCTTTCCAGCCTTCAGTGGTCCTCTGCACATCACCATTATTGCCTTTTCACACTGCTTAATCATCATATTTCTTTTAGTACTCACTATCTGCATTCTCCCTTGAAATTGTAAGCTCTGAAAAAATAAAAAGCCTTTCCTTTTTACTCACGGCTCTACTGGGTACCTCACTCCTAGCAAGGTACCTGGCCTTTATCATTGTTCAGTAAATGTGTGCTGACTGGAAGAATGAAGGAACCCTCTGTCATTGGAAGTAAAGGTATTGACACCATTGCTAGGAACTAATTTTCAGCATTCAAGTTCTTCCAGTGACTTTTCCTAATTTATGCCTCTTCTAGCTCCTAAATAAATCCCTACCTTGCTTAGGATTTTCTTGCTCCTATTTGCATCACTTGAATGACCCCCAGAGTCTGTCTTCACCTCAGTCTCCCCAGTGTTGAAGGATGTTGCTCTGGTCCCTGTGAGTACCTTCTCGGGGAATAAAATCAGAAAGCCCATTTGGATTCTCAGTGAAAGGATAGAGGAAGCTGTTGTACCTCAGCTGGAAAAACAGAGGTGAAATGGAGGAGCTTTCCATCCCTAGGCAGTTTAGAGATGTCTAGCAGCACATACAAGCAAAGCTTCTACATGCAAGTCATTTTCTGTCTGTTGGCAAGAAAAGACTGAACTGAATAACCAGAGTACAGCAGCATGCAAGGCAAATACTAACTCCAAACAACAGGAGATGACCAGTGCTCTGTAGTGAAGAGTGCTCCCTGGGGCCTAGGCGGGCGTTATGGGATGTAACAGAGAGGCTTTGGGGAAGTGTACTTGGATGTACAAGCCACAAGATACACACTGTGGCTTGGTGAGTGTTCTGTGGCTGGAGGAATTTTCTCTGTGGTTACTGGCTTTTCTGTTTCTCTAGATACAGCCAGAGAGTGCTCCAGTTGTCCTCTGGCTCCAGGGAGGGCCAGGAGGTTCGTCCATGTTTGGGCTCTTTGTGGAACACGGACCTTATGTTGTCACAGAAAACATGACTCGTAAGTGTTGCTTGGACTGTATTTCCTATGCAAAATCCTTCATCTCCACCTTTATCTGCTCCAAAACTAATTTAGAGTAAACACCAACCCACTGGGATTGGTTTAACAGTTCCAGATTATAATAACACAACTTTCTGGCAATGCCTGTCCAAGAAGGAGGAGCCCTGCCCTGGTGAGTGTCCTGACTGGCTTATTTTCTCTCTTGAAATTTGGGTGAAAGGTTCTAAGCCATTTTCTTAAAGTCTGCTGCTGACTCAAGCATTCTCGGCTTTCAAAAACAGTTGGTATTTATTACTATTTGGGAGAGCCCTTTTGCATAGGCCTAATGAGGGAAATTATATCCCTGATTATTCACACCAACTGAACTCTTTCTGGTTCAGTTGCACGAATGATCTGATATCTTAGAAGTGTGATAGGTGAGGGGCTGGGCTGGAGGGAGGAATGGAGAGAAGGCCACCTCTGGTTGGAATCCAGGTTAGGCTCCATTTCATTGTCTAATTTGCAGGAGATTGTTTACTCTCCTTGGGTCAGAATTCAGACTGGGTACCCATTTGTGACTCATTACGAAAGCTCGTGCCAGTTTTCCTGAAGTTGTTGCTCTCTTCAGCGATGGGTGGGCAGAATGGAATTTAACAGGATTTGGGTGTTGTGGATGTTTACAGGACTGGACAGATGGACATTATAGCATGGGTGGTTTGTCTGTTTTTTCATGGACCAGTTGTCCGGGCTTTTGTTTTCAGGCTTAATCTCAGATATAGGAACCCTTCTGGGCTAGAGAGAAATAAAGGAGAAGAAGAGAAGGCCAAGGTGCTGGAGCCTGCTCCCCACTGCGATAGGGTGACACAGTATCATGGGGACACCCAGCATTTGTGAGGGCAGGTGGAGATGTACTGGGCTCCTGAACAGAGTGAGGCCTCACAGGGGACGTCATGTTAATAATTCAGTCTCAATCCCCTTCTTTTAATAGTTCAGTCTAGAGACTTCTCCTGGTCCACCACGCTTTCCATGCTCTACATTGACAATCCGGTGAGTAGGGCATGGCCCTGTGATATGTCTCTCTGTCCATGTGAATGTCCCGGTGCTGGCTTCTCTGTCTTTTTTCTTTCCATTAAGTTCAGGTATGTACCACATAATAGCATTTCAGGCAACAGCAGACCACATGTACCATGGTGGTTCCATAAGATTGTAATAGAGCTAAGAAATTTCTGTTGCCTATGATTTTTTAATATAGCTCTGCAACATTTAGATACACAAATACTTATCAATGCATTGTAATCACTTATGTAATTTGGTTCAGTAACATGTGTATAGCATGCTGTATAGTACTCCTTGGAGCAAGGAGCGATATATATATATATATATATATATATATATATATATCATATAGGGACTATAAATACTATATAGCCTCAAAATGTAGTAGACCATACATTCTAGGTGTACACTCTGTAAGGATCCCACAACAAATTTACCTACACACATTTCACAAGATGTATTCCCTCTGTTGAAGAATGTAGAACTACATTTAAAAAATAAAGATTTTTTTTTAAAAAGACTTTTTTCATCTTTAAAATAGAATTTAGAGGCAAGTATGGTGAGCAGGCCTGTAATTCTAGCTCTCTGAGAGGCTAAGCAGGAGGATTACAAGTTTGAACCCAGCCCACTAGACAGTTCAGCACTTAGCAAGACCCTGTCTCAAAAAAATAAAACAAAAGAAATAAAAAGAATGAACACCATATTGAGATTTAGTTTTTTGTTTTGTTTTGTTTGAGACAGGGATTTACTATGCAGTTCAGGCTGGCCTTGAGCTCACTTTGTAGCCCAGGCTGGCCTTGAACTCACAACGATCCTCCTGCCTCAGCCTCCTGGGCGCTGGGATTACAGGCATGCGCCACCACGCCAGGTTTGAGATTTAGTTTTTATGCTAGCATGTTCCATCATATGTGTGTTTTAAGAATTTTCCTTGTTCCTTTCTTTCTTTTCTTCATGTTTTACCCTCTAAAATGTTCACTGAACATGATGAACTCTCTCCCTCTCTCTAAAATGTTCAGCGAATCATGCCAGCATAAGGGATTAGAGTCCTTTCACTGATGAGTAGGTTCCCAGCATCACGGGTTATTATTTAAAATGGGAAATCCTAATCTATCACACAGGGCTGTAGATATAAGAAGTCAAAATTGGTCTCCTTCCTCATCAAGGCAGGGAGAGTCTCATTTTAGAACAAAAAGGTGATATTCTCCTTAGGACGTTTTCCCGAAACTCCTTTCACTGAAGTACAAATAGGAGAGTTGGCTCAGAGTCAGCTTCTGCAGATGTGGAGTATCTTTAACCTTAACTAACGCGTCCAACTTCTCTCACTTCACAGATGGTCTAAAGAGAAAACAAGTAAATAGGGAGAAAAAAGTAGTCAACATGCTATCCTGTCCTTGCTTTGTCAGCCATCTGTTTTCCTAATCTATAATTACATATTTAAATAGAATGTGAATTGAATGTTGTGTTCTTTGGGTGCTTGGGGGAAAATATCCACATTTGGTGGGGAGTGCATTCCTTATACAAATGATTGACACAAAATCCCTTGCAGCTTCTTTGATGTACTGCTCAGTTGTATGAACTTCTAAGTATAAGGCAATATTAATTTAAAATTGGTCTTCATTATTTTAAAACTCCTTAGCCTCTGAAGATTAAATAGTGGTATAGCCCTATTTCTCACAGGCAAAGAAAACAAGTAAAAAAAAACCACCTAAGCCTAGAGAGTTCCTTCTTGGCAAGACCAATCTTCTCTCCAGATTTCAGAGAGGAGACAACTACTGTTCTTTTGATTCTCTAGCAAGACCAGAAAAGGTGAATTCTTATTTCTCAAGATAACATCTGGCAAACTGGCATGGCAGTGCACACCTGTAATCCCAGTGCTTAGGAGGCTGAGGCAGGAGGACTACTGCAAGTTTGAGTCCAGCCTGAACTACACAGGGAGACCCTGCCTCAAAAAAATTTAAACGCAGATAATACTTGGCAGGTATCAGATAGCTCAGCAGTCACTCCAAGGCAGATCTTTGGGCCAGTGTTTTATTTAGGCTTTGAAAGTGAGGGAAGTAGGTAATATTCATCATCCTCTTGTGCCTATGGCTAAAGGCTAGGGTGCTGGTAACAATTTGAAGTTAGCTAGTATAGTAGTGCGCTATAAATTACTCCAGTGCCGTGGGAAGCTGAGGCAGGAGGATCACAAATTGAGGCCCAACCTGGGAAATTTACTGACTTAGCAGGGTCTTGTCTCACAAAATAAAAGCATTCTGGGGCTATGGCTCAGTGTGAAAGCAGTGCGTTCAATCTCTAGTACTGTAATAGCAATTAATCAATCTGAAGTCAGAGGCATGGGCTTTGGAATGAGTAAGCTCACCTTCCAGTGTGGGTGTAACTTGAAGGCCCCAAAGCATGTGTGTCTCTGTGTTTATTCTCACGTCTTTATTTCTCCTTCAGGTGGGCACAGGCTTCAGTTTTACTGATGACACCAAGGGATATGCAGTCAATGAGGATGATGTGGCGAGAGATTTGTACAGGTAAAAGCCCTGGCTTCCTCTTGGCCTCTTAAAACCGAACAGTTTCCTATCTCAATAGAAAAACTCTTCCAGTGCTAGAACTAGGGCTGTCTGGTTCTTACTACCCAAGTTCTGAAAAATTTTTAAGGATACTTTTACCTGGGGAGCCACATGCAAGTACACTTACAAACACGCGTACACACACCTACCACAGAGGATACTTTACCACTGATAAGCATGAAAGTGGCCTGCAGAGAACGTAACAAGAAGAGGAATGCCTTAAGGCATACTGTAATTTTGTGAAAATAAATTTTAAAGAGACAATAGAGACAGAGCAAACCAAAGATTATTTTGAAATCTTTCAGCCAGATGTGTTAGAAATTTCTATTTGTTTTCCAAAACTTTGTCTAACTTTGCATATGCCAGAGGATATCTTTTCAGACATTTTTTTGTTTGTCTTCTTTCCCAGGATTTCTCTTTTTGTAGCCTTCAGATGCAATTTTTTGCTCTCTTGCTTCTCTTTCATTTACTTTTCCAGGCTGAAAACTTGGCTCTGCTAGCTTAGCTTTTCCTTTTCCCTTTCTTGCTATAAAATTAAAAAAAAAAAAAAAAAAAAAAAGGAAAAATGAAAAGTTGCAAGCTTGATTAAATAGCATATAAATATACGTATAATTTCCCTCTTTTATATCCTTTATAACTATTTTTAGTACTCTTTTTTTAGTACTTAAAAAAGAAGTAAATGACCTTTCATATTGGGTCAGATTTTTCCAGTCCATAATTGTTCCTGGAGACCAAGTCCTGAATTCCTCCAGGTCACCAGGGTACCCAATACTTGCTGCATCCTGATAATCTGCTAAAAGAGCTCCAGTGGTCAGGAGTTAACAAGCACCCCCCAGCCCACCTCCGCTCTCAGTCTGCTAATTACTGCCTGAGCAAACACAGCCCATCCCCAAAGGGAAAATGCATTCTATAGGAGTCAGAGTTTTTGGATCTCTGACAAAAGCTTTTTGTTTTACAATTCTTTCTCCTCAAGGCAGATAGATGATGGGGAAGAGGGGAAAGAGGGACTTCTGGGCATGTTTCTCAGAGACAGCTCTCTTTCCCTCTGCTGAACCAGGAAAGTATATGACTGCTGTCTACTCCATTTTCATGTTCCCTGTGACTTACGTACTTCCAACTTGGGAAGGGGAGTTAAGTCTGCACCGCTCTGCTCCCAGGTACAGCGGACACACTCTGGGAACCCAAGAGCGATCCTCACAGAGAGTCCCTCTCCTTTCCCCTCTCTCAGCTTCAGCAGCGCTGGCTCTCTGCTCTCTCCCTGGCCAGGGCTGTGATAGTCTCAGAAGTTGACTCAAGCATCCTGTCTCTCATTGAGCACTGTGTGCTCTCACTCTTCTAATAGGAAACCTGCTCTGCCCACCCCTGCTCCAGCCCTCTCTGGCTTAAATCCAAACAAGTTCAGTTGTTTAACTAGCAAACACCCTGAGGGTGGATTAAAGAATTGCATCAATCCCCTGGAAGACAGAGCGGTGCAAAGCCCCTTCCTCCCCTCCCCCAAAGATGCTTCCAGCTTCCCGTTGACCCTCAGTGTGGATATTTACTGCTGACATGTGGTTCATCTCCTCTTGCATGACATGTAAAGAGAACCTATTTCAAAGCATCCATTGTTTATAGCTGTTTTAGTTCTTTTAGCTTCAGGCTCTAAGAACTGGAAAATAGCTAATCAAGGGTAGTGCAGAAAACTGATTTCAGCTGTTTCCTTTATAGTTTACACTACTCGTTTCCTTTTGTGACTACATGTTTCTCTCTAGCTCTCCAGATGGGTGTTTGGAATAAGAAGGTTGCTTTGAAATGTGTAAATGGGCTACTGCAGTTTTAAAGGGGAGACCTTTTGTCTTCTCCCTTTGAAAACTATCTTTCCTTTTTTCTATTTATGGTGCCTGGCTATATGGAGTTGCCTCCTAAAGAGACATTTGTCATTCACATTTATGCTATTTTTCTTTGTGTTCAGAAATACAACTTTTTCAATTAACAATTCGTTCATTGAGATTCTCTCTTTTCTCTGTTTGGAGTGTGCTGTTGATACATAGGAGACAAAATTTCCTGAAACATAATAAATGTATCATTTGAATTTGGGCATCTTAACTGGTACCACTGTCTTTGTGCCACAAAGTAGAGTCTCAGTATAAGCCAGACCCCAGCCCTGGTGCTGGTGAACCCGCAGTGAGCAGCTGCACAGCTCCTGCTATCCAGAATTTGGGGTCTACTTGCATCTGAGGTCATTTCTCATTACTCAACTGAGGGTGCTACTGTCATTCTCTCCTTGTGTTAGCTTCTAAAGAGAAATGCTATGATTGGCCAGATGAGGATTTGTGGCAATGAGGTTATGAAGCAGATTTCCTGTATGAGCGGAGGATACTGTGTGACCCATGTAGGGTGGAGAGGAGCACAGCCCTGGGCATGGAAGCAATGAGAAGACCCTTTCATATTCTCCAGCACAACAGACCCAGCAACATTCTTGCTGCTGTTTCTGCTCATCCTCAGTAACCTTAGCTACACCTCCTTGGCTTTGGTTGCTATGGAGCCCTTGCTTAGATTAGTTGAACCTTCATTCTCCTGAATGTCGTATTTACCATCCTCCCGACTCCATCACCACTGACCAGATTCCAGCACTGTCTTTAGGTCTACAGTGCAAGATCATTTCCACCCACTTTCTCTGCCCTACTTCTACCAATGTCCCTTTCTTAGAAACTATCTCAGAAATAATTGTCTCCTGGTCATTCTCCCTTGCAATCTCTGTTTCTCCTCATTCTTCCTCAGTGTGTCTTCCTGCCAGTAGATAGCCTGTAACTAAAATTCTGTTTATAGACATGTGCTTGGCACAGTGCCGCGAAGGTTGGCAGGAATCACCTGGAAGATGTGTGCTATAATTCTTATACCTGGACAAATGCATACGAACATATATGTGTACATTATCTATTTGAGCAATTCTGCTTCTGGAATTTTAAATTTACAACTGGTGTGATTGTGGATTCGATTTTTAAGTAGACCCTCACTATGCAATAAGAACCCTTGACTGAATTACAGGTAAATGAACAAATCAAAATATAATTTAATCTAGTTCAGTGGCATATATGAATCTAGTTTATCAAACTGACCTTTTTCATTTTTTGCTTCTCTGTAAAAAGTCCTATGAAGGGATTGCTTTTTTAAAAAAGTCAGTTTTTAAAGACATTAAGTATGAAATTAAAACTTCTTCATCGTTTTTCACTTTGGAAACTCCAGCTAGAGGATTTTGACATTTCCTAGCCAGAAGTAATTTGGGAGACTAGCTCCTTTACTTTAGATTACCACAGATAAAACACAGAATGCTCAGTTATATTTGAATTTCAAATAAACAATGGATAATTTTTTAATGTAATATATTCTGGACATACTCACATACTCACACTGTAATATATTCTGGACATACTCACACTAAGACCTTGTTTATCTGAACTTCCAATTTGTTTAGACACCTTGTATTTTAACTTACTAAATGTGGCAACCATAACCATGCTTCAATAAATGTTACAAGGAAACAAGTTCTCAGGTAAACCATAAGGCTTTACTGAGATTTACTCTATTAAATTGTCTGCTGCTATTCCAGCAAACAGGAAGATAGAAAGGAAGTAGTTTTTAGTTGGAAGGTAGGAGGGGAAAGGGTGAAGAATAATCTCCTATTTTTATCTTCGCTGCAAAGCCAGCTTATCACTAGCACTAACAGGGAAGCTATAAAAATGCAGCTCCCCAGATTTAGTTACTACAAAGGCGGCTATAAATAATAAAGTAGAGAAATGCACTGACACTCTGAAGTAGTGTTTCACGGTGAATTTTTTTTTCATGGTGAATTTTTATGGAGCCTTTGAAAATTAAGTATAGCCAGGATCATGGTGCTGTAATAACCCAATTTTGCCTCCCCGTAACCCTTGAACTTTATCCCTCTCCTGGTTCACAGAGCCTCTTTGCCTTTCATCTTCCCTGGATGTTTCACGACAGTCCCTCAGCAGGAAGGTGGGACGGAAACCCTCCCTAGCTTCTCAGGCCTTATAATTTGGGTCAAAACATCATAGAACATTTTAGTTTCATGCACTTTTGTTGCCTCCTCTTTGAAAGCTTTTGGTTAAGTAGAGAATCATCTAAAAATCCACCCTTTTCTTTGCTCATGAAATAATTCCTTGAGTCTATTTAAATCTATTTCAGATAACTCACTTTAGTAAATGTAATTTTTCTGTTTCTGAGCTCAGAGACCACTTCAGTTCCTGTGGTCATTACTAGTTTCACTTTAGATTATTTGGTTATTAAAACACTGACACTGTGGGAGTTCCATTAGGAATACAGCGTTTAGGGCCTCTTGCCGTGAGAGCTGGTCAGGAACTAGGTTCCCATTGCTTCTCCACAACCCTGGGTTAATGAGACCCTAATGTTTGCGTAAAGGATTGCTAAATAATCTGAGGCAGAAGGATTGCAAGTTGGAGTCTAGTTTGGCAACATAGCAATTTAGTGAGACCCTGTTTCAAAACTAAAATGGGGTGCTGGGAATGTAGTTCAGTGTAAGGGCCCTAAATTCAGTCTCTAGTTGTAGAAAACAAATGCTAACTAGGTGAAAGCAGAGATTTGGAAATCTGCCCAGAGTGTTGCCTTCTACTTAGTATCACAAAGTAAGCCCACAAGTATTTGCTAACCATCCACATAGAGTGTAGTATTATTATGCACATGAGGCTTAAAACAGAATGCTCACAAACAGAATGGTATCTTATTGCATATAGGAGTTCTTATTGTCAAAGGGTTAGATTTGGTAGTATAACATGAAATGATTTTGATTCATTTTTCAGATTCATCTGCTTTGTTCTTTTTGCAGTGCACTAATTCAGTTTTTCCAGTTATTTCCGGAGTATGGAAAGAATGATTTTTATGCTACTGGGGAGGTGAGTTGAAGACATATTTTCTTGTGTGCTTCAAGCATCCTCAGGACTGAAATATTTTATGACAATTGTCATCTATTCATTTAAATATATATATAATGCATGCACAAATACTATATATTAATATTGATATTCAAATTCTCCAATTATCTTCAAAATAGGTTCTGTAATTATTTTGAATCAAGGGCTCAATAAAGATTTGATAGGGTACAATGGGTTGTCATGTCTCAGTTGTCTATCCTTTGTGTTGTTGTCATTCATGGTGATGATTTTGGAGAGTCCAGGCCAGGTTCCTTGTAGAATGTCCCACATTCTAAACTTGTCAGGTTCACACCTCTGTGCTTAGATTCAGTGAAAAAATCAGAAGCCACATTATGTTTGTTACCCTTTAAGGTAATGCCAAACTGGATCACTTAGTCAAAGTGGTATCTGTCACAGCTCACCATTGTAAATACATGTTTCTACTTGTAATTAATAAATACTCCAAAACCATATGAACATCTGTTCTCCCAAATCTCTCCTCCAGTAGTTTCAGGACTAAGAATACTGATACTATAGTATCTATTGATGGCTTCTATCAGAATCTGTTGTTATACTGGGTGCTACATTATATTCATTTCTCTAATTTCTCTTTGTGTAGGTACCATTGGGTATTCTTCTGTAGAAAAGGCTTCTTCCACTCCTCTGCTATTTACTTTTAAAATATCACTAATTCAAGCATTGTCATTTTTACTTAATCCATCAAATTTTATTGTGATCATTATTGTTTGTATGCATATGTTGTTCTAATTTTGTGTACAGAGATCCTCTTCAAGCCGGGTCCTGTGCCCTTTTGACAGTCCTTGAGCATTTCCTTGTATTTTGTCACAAATACATATTCCAGAAGCATCTTTTACTTTTCTTAACTTAGCCCTTTGTTGCAGTTGGGTCTTAAATGTCTTTCAGACATCGCTGCAGTAAGGGCTTTGTCCCTAACCCATGGTGCTGTTGGGAAGGGATGGAACCTTTAGCAGGTAGGAGCTAGTAGTTTTCATTAGGTTTTTGGGAATATGTCTTTGAAGGGATATTGGAACCCAAACTCTCCTCTTGCCTTTATTGGCCACCCTGCTTCTTCCTCCATGCAGTCCTGCCATGATGTACTGTGTCATTATGTACCCCAAGCAACAGGACCAAGTAAACATGGACTGAAACCTCTGAAATTGTCAGCCAAAATAAACCTTTCCTTCTTATAAATTGTTTATCTCAGGCATTTTGTCACAGTGACCAAAAGCTGACTAACATACATTGACCTGTCATTTACTCTAGGACCCTTGGCTCCTTCTCACTGGAGTGTTATTTAGAAACCAAGTCCTGAGCACTAAGTATGCTATTGCTACTAAAATGTGGTTTCTGTTAGATTTTGTCTATGAGAAGAGCTTGGAAACAAAATGTCTTTGTTACTTTTCCTCATTGCTGAGACAAAGTAGCAGATACCCAAAGTTAAGGAAGGAAAGGTTTACTTAGCTCACAGTTTGTAGAGATTTCAGTTTATAGTTGGCTGGCTCCAAGGTAGGACGGCATGGCTGAAGGGCATCATAGAGAAGCACTGCAGAGGAGAAACAGCTCATGGCAGGTAGAAGACAGCAAAGCAGCAAAGTAGCAAAGAATCAGCAAGCAAAAATCAGCAACAACAGCAGCCCTCTTTCTGTCCTTTATATTCTATCCAGGCTACATGACCATAGGACAGGTAGCACTCATACCCAGTGTAGGGCACCCTTAATCCCAGTATTGCATTATATATGAATTGAAGCATCACATCCTCTATATCTAGCCACCTCTGTAAAAGCCCCACCTATGACTGCAGGAAGGTTTGGAGGACATCTACACATGAGACATAACACAAAATAACTTCCCACTCCTACCCACTCCTGTCCACACTGCTTATCTGTGTACTCCTTCTCCCTCGTTGAGGTCTATGGCCTTCAACAACATCATCTGTTTACTTTTTGTTGAATCCTACAATATGCCCCAGGTGGCTTCAAAATTACTAGAGTGGTATGAACAGTCAACAAAACACCTGCAAATTTCTTTTCTGAGGATTTCGCCTCTCATTCTTCTCTGATCTTTTCACTTGGCTTTGTATTTCTCTGGTTTCATTCTTAGGTAATTTCTTTTTATTCTGTACCCCTGTCCCCTCTCCTCAATCCCAGTGAGGGTAGTCAATCCCTTGACTAGCTCAAATTCTCTTTCCCAGCAATTCCATCCATATCCCTGCATCTCATAGGAGGCATTGAATCCTATGACCACCCAAGAACCAATGGCTTGTGTCAGAGGGAAGGAATATACAAATTAGCTAGCATGGTGCCCAAGCCTATCCCATGGACCTGGGAGGGGAAGGTTCATGTTGAGTCCTCACTCTCTGAACCTTCAGGCCAGAGTGTGGGTGATGAGTGGTGTCCAGAGGAATATCCAAGTGGTGATACCAGAGCAAGGGCTGGGAGGATGTTGAACAAGCACATCCACAAATGCTAGTACTAACTGAATAAAAGAAGAAAATAGTTTCCATTTTCCAAGGGAAGGGCAAGTTCGTGGACCTTTCTCTTCTTGAACCTGCTTTCTTCTCTTTCTAAACTATTGGAAAGGATATTTTGGCTGTTCAGAATACTGTACTGGAGGTTTTTATAGCCACTTGTCCAGTTGGGATTACTTAGGAGCTCTACAAAGATTTCTTGCCATTCTTTGCCTTTTGACCAATTTCAGAAGCATGTTGGGGAAAGGGGTGAGAAGTGACAATCTGGTCACTTGGCTGCTGCTCTGGAAAATATCTGTTCTCCCCTCCAACAGATGAATGATCTGCAGATCTGTGTAATCCCTTGTCTTGTAAGCAATATGGTGAAGTTGTTAGCCATGATGTTGAATAGTCAGCAAAACTGCCAAATCCTGGGTGAAAAATTGGATTGACCTATTTTATTTCTGCCTGGTGGTTTTATGCATGTAATTTCCAAATGTATGTAAGGAAAGGACAGTTTTACTTTTACATCCTTCCCTGCCAGGATGAATATTCTTATGGAAACCTGTGTCTTCCAAGTGATGGAGGAAGATGTAGATGAAGACAAGCAGGGCCTGTGGTAGAGACACAGTTCCTAGAAAGCATCATGTTCATAAGAACCATACAGATGCATCTGGTCTGAGTGTGCATCTCTTTGTAGAAGGAAGAACACTGAATAATGATGATAAGTAGTCTATTATTATTAGAATGCTATGTTCTTCCAATTTACTTGGTTCTGTCTATTTTGTCTTTGGTTTTAAGGTCATGAGGCAGAATGAAGAAGAGGAAAGACTTCTGGATTAGTAATTAGAAGGCCTGGGATCTCACAGGGTGATTCTGGGAAAAGTTTTTAATTTCTCTGGGCCACTGCTTTTCATCTTACAGTCAGGTGCATTGGGGTGTTTTGCTTCATTAGAAGTGTAACTGCAGTTACCTAGACTTATTTTTATAATGCCTATATATAATCCTAGTTTTTTGACATAGGATTAACCCACCTCCTCCTTTCTACCTGCTTCTCCACAAATGGTTAGATTTTTCATGAAAGCAAATTCCCTAATTGTTAATTGGCTTGTAATCTTAGGGAGGCAGGACAAGTAATGCCACTCAATTTATAGAATCCTCCTGGAAAAATAAATGCATAAACTCTGTAGAAATTTTTCAATGTCAATGCACCAGACCTAATACACCCTTCATATTTGTGTGCTGTGAATGAATGTAGCTTGATGTTCAAAGTGCCTGGAGCAGCTGTTCAGAGGCCTGATTTTGGTGTGAGGAAGTCTGGAAATAATAATCATACCTACTTCATACCATTGTTTTGAGCATTTAATTAAATAATCCTCCTCAAATAGTTAGCATGGTGAGTGGCCGTGATGAGCACCCAACACATGATACCCCTTATTACCACTCATGTTTAAAAGCTCGATTAATCAGTTATGGCCCCAAAGCATATGTCCCAGTGCATGTAGACAGGGGCTGAAGTGTTAATAGAAGCTCTGCTGTCATTGTTGGGATGTGGCATGGTCTCCTCTGTTCTGTGTCTATTATTTTGAATCTCTCCCTCTCTCCTTCCCTTCCTGTTTCTCTCTCTTTCTGGCATGGTGCTAGGGATGGAGCTTAGGGCCTTGTTCCTGGGGCCTCATATATGCTTACCAGACACTATTGGTGAGCTACATCCCCAAACAAAATCATTTTTAAAAGAAATAATTTATTTTGTCTAAAAGATGAAGATGGAGCTTAGAAGTGGATATTCCAAGTTCAGTTTGTTTGTTTTTTAGATGGAAAGCAGCACAATTTGTCAGGACTGGTCCAGGCTCTCGGGGGTTGCAGTGCAGACCAGAGGGAGTGTGGGTCTGCAGTGGGCGCAAAGGAAAAGGGTGAACTGCTTTGTCTCCTTCCCTTCTTCTCTTCCTTTCTGCCCAGAGCACCAACTGGAATTAATTTTCTCTAAAGAGAGACAAATGCATCTGTAAATCAGCCTCCTCAAGGCATGAAAAAAATGTACTTCAAAAGGAAACAAGCTGCGTTTAATTCCCATAATTAACTTTCTTTATAAGTGTTATCCTTTCCAAGCCAGTAACTATTAGCGAGACTGCTCTTGTTCCCGAGGCACAGACACACTGTAGAGTCCTCTTCAGCACCCTCGAGTCTCACTAAGCAGCTAAAGCAAAATAGCCCTCACTGGAAGGCAGGCTGGCACCAGGACCAGGGGCATTGCCCACTGTGCTCTGAGCATGCGGCTCTGTGGAGCTCTCCAGCATGGAGGCAGCAGTGACAATGGATGGCCACTGTCAAACAGCAAGGTGTAAGGTTAGACCTGGGCATCTCTTCATTGGCAGAAAAGGGCAGATTCTCTCTACACGCAGTTTTCAGTCCATGGTTAACTTGAAGACCAAATACACAAAAACTCAGAAGCTGGTGAAATACTCCTAATAAGCTCAGTGGGATACTTTATTCTCATCTGTATGGCTTGAGTCCT